ATATATATATACCTAAATTGTCAGATTATGGCAATTTGCAGAAATAAAGCAGGACAGAATAAAACAAAAAAATTCCCAAATATATTTCCAGAAAGTCAGCAAAATGTTTGAGAGGTAAATTTTCTAAGTTGCTTATAAAACAAAACAAAAGGAAATGAAACATTTACTGAAGAAGCAGGGGAAATTTTCTGTTTTGTTGCAMGTCTACTTGCAGTGATATTCTATGTTTTTGTGGTTGAATTATTTTTTAAAAGATGCAGTCTTCAGTCAAATTAAATATAATTTTAGCTCRCAGCTATGGTGTAACTTATACCAAAGCTTCTTGCCTTTCACACCTCATTTCACACCTCTGCAACACTTACTGTGCAGCAGCTGGCAGCAGCAGGAGTATCTATAGAAGCTTTTCATCTCCTCCAGTGAGATGCAGGTGGACCGCTCCTCTCTGCTCTCCTGTTTCCCTGAGCGTCCCTTCACACCGTCCCTCCACAGTCCTTCCATCATCATGTCTTCATGCAGGCAGAGAGAAGAATACCACCKGTCTCATCCCGCTCGCTTCATCTCTATTTTCCAAACCCTCCCTGTTTGAACACACATGTCATGATGTGTGATTACACCGCTCCTGTTCCCTCCGTCCCTCCCTTCTCACAGTGAAAATCAGTGGAGACTACCACACCGAATTTAACTTAGCATCTGTAAAATTAACCGAGTTACAGACTTTTTTTTTTGTTTGCTAAGGTCACTTAGCTGTGGAGGCCATCTTGAACAGGACAGACTCAAAAGTGAATTACATCCATTGATATTGATATATTACAAAGCTGTCACAGTATTATTTTGTTAGTTTCTACATAAATTTATTTTACTTCACCAATGCACAGTGGTTTAGAGGTTAGACTTCTAACAGCAGCGCTTATTTTGTTAAACGGTAATTATTTCTGCGACAAAAGAAACCTTGCAGTATCCATTTTGTTTGGTTAGAAAGCATAACAACAGTAAATGTCCACAGACCAGGATAAGTCCTCTAACCCAGCTGGTTTCGTTTGAACAACCTCACGTGCGCAAATATTGAACGGGCTGTGTAACTGAGGTGAATTTTCTGCTGTGTCGTCAACTCTGATGTAAAAAAGAAAAAGAAAACTATACACGCCTATAGACGAAAGTGAGTCTGCACTTTTCCACCAAAATGCAACCACGCAGCTAGAAAAGGCAACACTCACCGTGTGTGTTAGCCTGGRTGAAATCATGATCCTTTGTCCTTTTAGCACAGCAGAGGCTGGCGAACATGCTGGGGAGTTTGTTGGACTTTGTGTTCGCCTGKTTATCTGTCAACCATCCAGCTTGTGAAAGACCGTCGYTGCTGGTGAAAATTGAGGTCACTTGGTAATTTATCAGTTAGCTGCTTGCTGGTGTGACCTCAGGTAATCAGTTACAGTACCACTCTGAAACTGGTCTGCTGAACTTAAAACCACTCTGCAGGGCAGTGTGTGTAAAGTTAGCTGTGAAGCTGAATGGTAAAGACTGTTTCTTTGACTTGTTGTGTTTTTACAAAGAAAACAGACAAGCCACAAAAAAGAAAGCCCACCCTTTCTAAGAGCTTGAGTTTTGGTCTATAGAGGAGTTCATGGTCAATCTAATGAATGCAAGGTCCAAGAAAAAGCCCAAATTATTACCATTCTACCTCCGTGGCTGACAGTTGGTAGGATGTGTTTGGTTTTTACCATGCTACCATGGCTCTACTTTGGTCTCTTTGGTCCAAATGATGTTGTTCCAAAGGTCTTTACAGAGAAAAGCCTTTCTATTGCATCCCTTCCAAACAAGTTATTCTTATTCAGACTTTTTTATTGTCCTGTTGAGGATTTTAACTTTTAACCTGATAATTGGAGCATTTGGAGTCTTTTCTGAATGTTGTACCATCCAACTTTGGGGGTATTTTGCTACATCAGTTAATCCTGGGAAGACTGACCTAATCATTCTTGCTGTGGAAGTCCAAATTGTTTGGAAAGACCCTTAGCTCTTTCCAGATTTATGGGCAGCCATTCCTAAGGTCATTGCTGATGTCTTTCCATCTTGCCGTTGTGTGAACACACACCTGTATGCCAAAAYGCAACCATTTTGTGATTATGYGCCRTTGRTACACRAGGCCTCTGYCACTTTTCTTTTTCTTGCCCAAACTTGATTCCCAATAATCACGCAGAACATAAATGAAACTACAAATAATATTTGTACACTGTAKAAGTATGAAGAGTCGCACAATCCTCTCTAGTCAAACTCCAAATCACATAAAAGCCAACAGACCAACTAGAATTATCAGGAAACCAAAGAGTGAGGCTCTTCTCCTCTGATTTAATAATGAGGGGATGAAACACATGAGGGGAATCTCCCTCTGAAGGCAGGAAATCCTGTCCCATCATCCTGTCACGTTGATTTCAAAAACAAAAACTCAGCTGCAGGAAGCTGCAAACATCACAAACTAAATGAGAAAATATAAAAGCAAAGTCCACCTTACACTAACCTCTTGTGCGRGTCGGTTGTTGGCTCCCACTGTGGTGCGACTGTCTGGTCAGCAGCCTGATGGATTCAGACAGACTCAACATCACCTGAGACAACAACAGCTCCTGGCTGTCCTGGTTTACCTCCAAAACAGACATTGACTCTTACGCTATTTTTTACCATACACGAGTTCATCGATGGGGATCCTGCAGATCCACAGCCTCTTCCCTCTGTATCGCAGCTGCAAGTGTGGAGTTGTGTTATCTTGTTTCATGGGTTTATCTCAGGAAAAGAGGGGCGGAGGGTAGGCTGTGACAGCAATCCCAAACTGCTGATCTTGATAAACGTGAGCTTGTGTTTGTTCCACAGTCTGGAAATGAGCGCTGATGCTGCTGATTGGTGATGAAAACATAAATTAATTCCACATCATGTTCTCAGTCTCCTTTAGTTTTATACGTCTGGCATTTCTTGAAAGAACACACACCGACCACTGCTTTGAACAACAGAGCTTCAAATGGGGAAGCAACTGAGAAATGATGAGGTTGCAGCAGTTTTTTGGTCAAACCAAGTAACTCGTGTAAAAACCACAATCTGATGTGAGACATTGCAATATGTATTATCTTTAAGAATATGAGCTGAGGTTTATAGACACCACACCAAATCTATGAAACTGACTGAGTCATGGTCCGGTATGTGTTTGTGGCGGCCATCTTGAGTAGGGTTGACTTAGTTAGAAATGCGATTAATTTCAGTGAATGTTATTAAAATCCATCCAGTTTATCAGTCTAATTACTTTAAAAAAATCTCTCTCTCTCTCTCTCATATATGTATATATGGAAAATTTTAAAGTGTATCTTACCCCCCTGTGAAAAGATAACTCCGCCCCAAGGCGAAATTTGAAAAATGCATCAAAGTGGGTAGGGGAGKGGGGGTTAGAGAGTGGAGGTGTGGCCAGGACAAGAGAACGTGACAGGCAGCTAGCATTAGCATAATTGATGCTACATGGAAAGCGACCACAGTATTGCAGAGAGTTACATCTCTGAACGTCTGAGGTGGAGGATTTTCATCCCACACCAGCACCGGACAGAGGAGGAGGAGCGCTCYGACAGCCTGACAGAAAAAAATAAAAGCATACAGCTGCTCACATGATCGCTAATTTAAATCAGGAATAAAAGTAGTTCAACTGTATAAAGAGCGCTAAAAATCCATAAATTTTGCAAAAGATCCTTACAACTCGCACCCGCCGGGGAGTGGGGGGGGGTCAGC